GTAACATTTGTGTTTTAAACACACACACACACACACACACACACACACACACACACGCACGCACACATACTCCATACCATTTTAGTCATTTTTAAGTGTACTACAGTAGTGTTAACTATTCTTTGTTCTGAAACAGAGCTCTAGATTTTTTTCCTTTTGAAAAACAAACTCCATACTCATTAAGAATTTCCATTTTGCCCTCTTTCCAGCTCCTATTCCACTTTGTTTTTAAATAGTTTAGACATCTCATACAAGGGAATCATGCAATATTGTCTGTTGTGACTTGCTTATTTCATTAGCATAATGTCCTTAGGGTTTGCCCGTGTTGCAACATATGCCACGTTTTATTCACCTTTTATAAGGCCAAATAATATTCCATTGTATGTGTATGACACGTTTTCTCTCTTTTTCTATTTTTGGTATCAGGGATCGAACTTAGGACCTTGTGCTTGCAAGGCAGGTGTGGTGCCACTGAGCTAAATCCCTGGCCCTATGCGATGTTTTCTTTATCCCATTCATCTACTGATATTTAGATTGCGTTAAAAAAAAAAACCAGCGAGCTTTGTTGTAGCTACTGGAAAAGCAAGGCATCAAAACAACAATGGGAGAAAAGAAAAAATTCTCACACACTTGGCTCAAAGGTAGAAAGAGTGCTTCATTCAGCATATCTCACAGGGCACTCTTGTTGGAGCACACAGTTCTAGGGACTGGGGAGTGATGTATCATGATCTTTCAGAAGGCCCTGTCCTCTCAAAACACCACATCAAAGAGGGTGGATGTGTTAGAACTACTGTAAATTGCCAGAATTGGTCTGGATGAACCCACCACTAGGAGGACCTTGGGCGGGGGAGAGGGAATTGGTGATCAGAGAATTGAGTACTCTGGGTACTGTCTTCAGAGGTGCTTAGAACAGGTTGAGAAGTGTCAGTCACGAAACGATACTTTTAAATGGAACTCCAAACTTGCTTCAGATGAAATGGGCTGCCAGTCTTCTTCCGGTCACGCGTCTCAACGCCACCCATGTCATTGGCCAAGGCTCCAAGAAGGTGGGAAGAGAGACAGGTGCGGACCAATGGGCATAGGCCCAGCCTGGGCACATGCGCAGTGTCCTCTGGGTGCCCGAGGAGGGGAAAGGGACCTGAGAGCCTAGTGCTTTCTTCTCAGCTCGCCCCCAAGCCCTGTGGAAAGGAGCCGCAGAGCCAGTGCTTTGAGGGCCTCTGCGAGTCTCTCCTGCAATTCGGAGTCCAGAGTCAGAGGTTGGCGTGAGCGGTAGGCCGACCTCTACCCCAGTCCGGCGTCGGGGAGGCGGGCAGCGGGTGTCCGTGGATGTGGGCTCACTGTCTGTGCTTCCCCAGCAGCCTCGGCCATGCGCCCCACAGCTCGCTGCAGCCTCCTCCTGGCCTGGAGCCTCGCCTTCCTGCCCTGCTTCGCGGGTGAGCGGTTTCCCCTGCGTCCCCACCGGTGTCATCTCCCCTTGCCTGAGAGCCCTGTCTGGCACCGGAAGTCACAGCGTAGACTTGGTTTCCGTCCCCAGGCGCTTCCGGGTACTGGCCAGTGCCGGGACACAGTCCTGGTGTTTGCTGCTGGGCAGCCCGGTGCTGACCTCGGGCAACCAGCTGTGCCCTCTGGGCTTCAAGAACTGGGACTCTTGTTTCTGTCTTGGAGTTCTGAGGACTGTGTGGGCCACCTGGCACCTGATGAGCTCTCGTGAAACAGCTTTTTGTTTTTCTTCATGTTGAGGAAAGGAAGAAGAGAAAGTGTTCACCATGGACAGGTGAATTATGGACCTTTATTAAGTAGTTCTTTCCTGATTCCCTGAGAATCATGAGATACGGTGTGAACAGCCTCCAACTACCCCAGCTTGCTTGGCAGATTCAGCTAAGGTCAGGGTCATTCGCTTAGTGCCACATAATCATTGTGGCCAGGTCCTCCCTGCCTGCCTCCCACGTTGTCCAGTTAGCCCAGGACCTCAGTAGCCAGGGGTTTGACCCCTGATGCCTCACACCTCTCTTACTTCCCTGCTGTTCTTTGGGGGCCACTCTCTGAAAATAAACTGTAGCCTCACCGCCCTCCTCCTCTTTCTCCATGCCCATACTAGTGGACCAGCCATCACAGTAACAAGCTATCACTTAGAATTTGAACCGATGGTGGGTTTTTTATAAGAAAGGACAGTGTGATTTTTACATACAATTCCAGCTCTTTCTTGATTTTTCCTGCCTTTATTTTCCAGAAAACTTAAGGTAAAATGTCAAGAGTTTTTCTTGGAGCTTTCAACCCACTTAGCTAGGTACCTACTTGCTTCCTCAAGTCTCTACTCTGTCTGTCAGAGTATGCTTTGTTGTCATTTGAATATTTTCTGCAGTAGGCCTTTTTTATCAAGAGCAAAAAATTAGAACTTTTTTCCCATCTCTTCCTGTTTTCATTTATTTGATTTTATAACCATAAAGCTTTTAAAATTAATACTCTGTGTCCATGACAAAAAGTCCTCTTTACACCCGCCTCCCCCACCACAGCAGTCCCTTTCCTATGTACTTTTCTGGAGAGTCTTCGTGGTTACAAACGCATCCAGATGTATTTCTCCTTCCAGCGGCAGAATGTTACGCCAGTGTTCCACATCTTGTCCCTCGGCCCTTGGAAGTGTATCTTGGAGTTTTCATGTCAGTGCACGGGAAAGCACATCTTGTCGGTGGCTGTAGTCGCCTCTGTTTCATGGATATGCTGGAGTCCTTCTAACCATTTATTTTCACAGAGAATGCTAGAGTAAAAGACCTTAAATAAGTGCGATTATACATGTGAGAAAATACCCCGGAACTGCTAGATTGAAGCATTCGTACAATCTAAATTTTGATTCTATGTTACCAAGAAGTACTACTAATGTTTTGTTTCGGTTTTTGAGACAGGGTCTCAGGGTGGTCTTGCAGTGACGCTCCCGCCTCAAGAAGTGGTAATTTTGTGCCCACTCAAAGGAGATGATGTCTGTTGTCACACAGTACAGATTTTGTTTCCATTCATCGTTGTATTCCGTAGTGAAATATGCAAAGTTGGCCAGCCATTTTGGCTTTTGAGCATTTGAAATGACACTTGTGATGAATTTTAATGACATTTGCTGTTAATCTATTTATATTTAAATAGGCACATTGGACAGAATAACTTCAGGACAAGGTGGAGTGAGAAAGAGTTCAGAATATTGAGAGGAAGGGAGGGAGAGAGATCCTGTCCCAAGGGACACATATTATGAATTTGAAAGTCTCTGGTGTTAATGAGCTGCATTCTTTTTTATGTTACTTTGTTTTGTTTTGGTTTTAGTTATTTTTGAAGTGTTTTTTCTGATTTTAGAAATTACTTTTGGCTCTGTGGTTGTTCTGATTACTTTTGACTGGGCTCTGTCCAACGAGACTCTACAGGGAACAGGCCAGGTTAGCCCTGGTCTCTGGGTGCCACAGGGCCTGGGGAGCCACTGGGCAGCACTGGTCTCTGCTCCTGCCCCTCTTGGCAGCACCCCCGGCTTCTGCTCCTGTCCAGGGTGGAGCTCCAGCTGCCCTCACATTTGCAGAACTCATGGTGATACGGCATAATATTTAAAAGGTTAAAGTATTTCGCCTCCTCTCTCCCAGACCTTCAGAAAAACTAACAGTCATGGAATATCCACTCACCTCAGAGCTCCATGCCAAGGGTTGGCCGCATTGCGAGAGCTCCATCTGGTCCTAGGCCGTGTCCTCTCCCCTCTGCTTTCCCCTTCACTGTAAGGAGTGCTGAAGTGCAAGGCACACACTCCCCCTGCTTCTGGGAGCTGCTGCTTTAGTCCTCAGTACAACTGAGCAAGAAGCAAGGATGCTTGCTGCTAGGTAAGGTGGGGAAAGGTCTACAGGATGCAGTGG